GGAACGCATGGTGACGATACAAAAACGGCAGCTCCGTACTCTACCACACAGCGCGCGGTGGACGATCCACACAAACGTAGGGGCGGTGCTGCCACCTATAGGTCGATCTCGTCGCCAATACCACATTTTTTCGCCGCCAATACCGCTAAACGTCGTTCCGCGGTTCAATTTCTTTAGGAAAACGTGCAACGTCTCCTGTGAGCTACACGCGAGAAAAACGTGCATGAAGCGAACGAAAAACGGGATTTTCTCTTCTGCGGGCTTGCTTCTTCGTTAGAAACAAACGAATGATTCCCACAGACACTATATGCCAAGAAAAGCACGCGTGGGACACGTGGTGCGATGTCTAACTGTAGTGCAGTAACTATAACGCATATTTTGAATGAAATAAAGTGGGCAGAAATCAGCTTTCTACCGACGCCGGAAAGGGTAGGTTTGCGTCCACTTCAGTTCATTCAATGTTGACAGCAGAATTACCCCACTCAGTTAAATATCAGACTGCGTGTCCCCCATGCTCCCTGTGGCCTCATTGTCTGTTGGATTCATTCCGTTGTTTCATGCACAAAATTAGTTGCACATACTAAGTGCATTCACCACACACGCGCCCTTGAAAACTGTCTGTTGACCTTGTTTTTGTGTGATTTCAGCCGTTGTCGCTGGCCGCGGCTGCTTGTGTTTCGGTGTTTTATGCGGATAGAATTAATCCTATGAAGCACTCGCAACTCGGCCACGGCTTTTCCGTGCCAGGATGCAGTCTGCAAGGCTGAACTAACTTTACATACAAGTCGAAACGTTCTGTTTTCCAACCAATGGATATTAAGAGCTCCCGCATTGCAGCGATCACGCGTGAAAACAGGATTCTCACAAGGAGCGCGTAGGTTTGTCCTGCTCACTCCCTTAAAGGTAATATAAAACTTGGCACACACTAATGTCAAAAAGGCGACGTTCAGATTAGTCGCAGTTAACAGGAAACACATCGGACGCCGTCACCTTCCACCAGTGGCAGATAGGTGCGCTGACACCTGAAGGCGAAATGTGATAGAAAACACTGACAATCCATCGCAAAGGTGTTTCTTCTTTAGTGTGAGTGAAGGAAAGAGGGGCACATTTAGGGCTTGTTTTCTTTCTTATGATCATTATTAATGAGAACTAACAGACAATGATGCCAAGCAGTGGCTCTGGACCCAGGGGGGGGGGGGGGGCGTCGCCCTCACAAGTCAGAATACAGGGGGGGAACGTGCTCCCCCACCAACAGCTGCTACAACCCCTCCCCCTCCTCTTCTCGCCTTAGCAAAACAGTTTTGTAACGACGCCTTTATATATATATATATATATATATATATATATATATATATATATATATATTTGCCTACAAGCGTCGCCCCCACACTTGCCATATACTTCTGGAGCCCCTGATGCCAAGCAAACTTTAGGGGATGTTATTAGAAGTAAATGTAATGCAAATGTGAAGAAGAAAAAGCGGATGACAAGAAAAAATTCCAGCATATCTACAGATGAATGCTGATGGGTGGGGTGAAGCGTCCATACGTCCATACGTGCTTATGTCCGTCCATCTGTCAGTCCGTGTGTCCGTCCATCCGTGCATGCGTCCATGCGTTTGAGAATGCAGGCAGCACGTGGGTAACACTGACGAGACGAGAGTCAAGGAAGCCAAGGGAAGCCTGAGGGAAGCGCTCCTTCCTCGCGCACCCTGGCACAACTCACGCAGTAGCCAATCGGAGAGTAGTGGTACAGCGCCATCTACAATATCCTCATTCCACTGCACATTGTATGTACTTTTATCAGACAACGCCGTCTATTATACTGTTCGATAAATACTGCCTTCCTTTTTTGTTCTCGTCTCTTCTTTTCTCGATTACGCCACATGCAGGACAAGGTTAGACTAAGAGGAGCTTCGCCTCTAAAATCGCCAGGCCTGCGCGGAACGCGCAGCACAGTCACAGCGAAAGCCAGAAGAGTGGCCTATCAGAGCCTTTTCTAAACACTATATGGAAAAATCCTAGAAGCACATTTGCTGGATACCCACTACGCCATAAATAATCATGATTTTTGTCCGGCATTCGCTATGCTATGCTTTGTCAATCTTCGGAGAAGCGTGGTATCCGCTAAATACTTTTTTGCAACAAATTTTGTGTGAATTTTGTGTTTCATGCAGTGGCTGACGACGATGAATAATTACACCTGAGGTGGGTATGTGCCACAGTAAATAGGTTACGAAGAACAATGGCGTATAGCATTGGATGACCCACTCATTACGCTTTTCGCATTGTGTGACGCCTGCTTGTTCCTTTGCTGTTCTAAAACGCTTTATTACTCATATTAACGCGATTCCTTTCCCGACATCAAGTCTACCCAAGGCAAGTTTGTGAACGAGTCACCATCATCGGCGTGGCTCAGCAATAGAATGCTGGGCTGGCATGCAGTTGACCCGGGTTCAAATCTCACTATGTCCTTGGTAATTTATATTTGAGTTTTTCTTTTATCATTTTGTGCGATAGTGGTTACGGGCATCGACGGCGGTGGCGGACAAATACGGCACCGCGCCTGACCCGTGTTATGATCTCATAATAGCTTTCGCTGTAATAACTTGCCATGGACAGGGACCGATCCTGCGACCTTCGAATAACGCGTTCGACGGTCTACCAACTGAGCTACCACGGCGGCTCTTTCACCGTTCACTTTATGGGGTATGTATGTGCTCTGAACGTGGACTAAGCGTCAGTCAGCGCCGCCGGTAGCTTTGATGGTGAATGTGGAACACTCTTTCTGAGCCTGTTTGGCGTCACGTAGCACGTCATCCTATCACGAGCTGGAAGCTAACCTATAATCTACTCGAAGGCACCAAGTCTGCCAAAACAAGACCCTCGCTATAAATGAAAGAAGTAACGGCATATTTCAGGGCTCGTTTTCATTGTTAGACACATTATTTATGAGATCTAAAAGACAATCATGCCAGGGAAGGTATAGCGGATGTTATTAACAGTAAATAAAAGTCACATCAAATATGTTTACCATTCGAAACAACATAAGACCAAAAGCAGCCGCGTTCATGAATCACCGCAAAATTACGCCACATTTTGTTGCCATTGCATTTGATTTTTTTTTTCGAAAGCGGCGCCTGCAAGAGGGTTCGCATCCGCGTGAGCAAACGACTCATCGCTTTTCTTGCTGCCGGCAATAAACATAGCCACATTCTAGCTAACTTATCACTCAGTGTGAACATGGACTGTGGGTTTAGGGTGGGTATACCTTGGGGAGGGGGGGAGGGGGGTACAGACACTCTTTTGTAAAGTTGTTTGCGCCGTGTGGCGCACGTGTCTCGCGCGGAAGCCGTATTTTGAGGTCAAGGCTATAGGCGGCGTTGCGTACGCGAGCGGTATTTAAGCGGGTAGAATTAACTAGAAGGAGGTTATCTGATTGGTGGCTAAAGTCAAGGCACGAGTGAAAATTAAACCATTCACTGCAAAGTACGAATCCTCAACCTCACCATTTAAAGAAAAAAAAATAAATCTAGTTTTTGGTTCATTAAGTATTACGGCTTCGTGGCGCTAGCCACCACCCAATCTAAAGGGTACAGCCATGTCCATCCATTCATACGTGATCACCGCTATCATCCTCATCATCATCATCATCATAGTTGGTAGAGTGGTAGCGCTGGCGCTGACCCCTGGCGGAAGGCAAGCCTTAATGGCTGGCGAGAGAGTTGAGCGAGTCTCTTTTGCGATTGGCGGTTGCCGCGAACGGTTGTCTCTAGCGTGGGTACCCGGTGCGTGGCACCGCGGGTTGCGCGTCGGGGGCCCTCGTGGCAAGTCAAGCGTTGGCGACGCCGCCTTGGGTGTGTAATTGTGTTTGTCGTGTTTTTGGAGTGTATTTCAAAATTGTGTAAGGAGGCCTTAGCGTGTTGATCACAATTTATGTTATAATATTTTGTCGGACGATATTGTCGTTCTAAATTAGTTAAATAAATGTATTTTGTTGTTTGGTTTGTACCGACCACGTCTGTTGTGTCCTTTCACTCCAATAGCGTGGCGTGGCGCTCGCCAGTTCGAGAGCCCACAAACTTCAAAGTTTGTTTATGAATAGTTATGAATTATTTTCGGGGGCGGGGGCACATCTTTAATTACGGGGCACCTTCTTGAAATGGTCATTTTTAGTTCTTTCGTTCTGTACGCCACGGCGAAAAAAAGCGCCAGGCCTGCACGGAAGGCGCAGCACAGTCACAGCAAGCATGGGCTCGGTGAGCCACCTCTGTGCCCGATGTGACACAGGCGGTGAAATGATAACCACTTTATCCTGAGGTTGTGTCCTTAGACGAAAACAGAAATATGCTCGTGGTTTGACGGGAGGCAAGTTTTCAGTCCTAGTTGAAAATTTAAGATGTACAACTTCATCGTGGATCAGGCGCTCTTCTCCTGCATGCCGACGGTGTGAGTGCACTTTGAAGACGTGGACACGGAAAAGACAGGTGTGTGATGTCTCTTCCCTGTCCTTGTCTTCAAAGCAGACCCACATTGTTGACATGCATGCAGAATCAACTGGCCCAATCAAGTGCGCTAATAATCTTCTCCTACAGTTAATGCATTTTCTGTTTGTACCTTTCCCGTGCGCCACGTCGAGACCCTTCATGTAGCCGCTAGACATTGCTATAAACACATCCCAAGAAATGTACCATAAATAATATGGCAGCAAACTCAAACACACTACGAAAGCGCCGCCGGAATCATTGAAAAAGCATTACCGAAAGTGGCGTACCAGAAGTCTCCTTGGGCAGGCCTTTCGGCACGAGTCAGTTTGTTTAGAAAAGCCGACATGACGTGTATGATTGCGGTGTCTCTAGATACTGAGCGCTTCAAAATGAGTTTATTTGCGTGGAAGGAAAACGACTGATGCAAGTGCACCAAGGACACATCAGCATTTACGGAGTTGCACACGCAGTGGGTCGTTGTAAGCTCTGTCCGACACGCGCCCGATGAGCTCACCTTTGTCGCCCTTTATTCCCGGAGGTCCGACGGGACCGACGGGGCCTGGGCTTCCTGGCAATCCCGGTAGCCCTCGAAGCCCCATGTCTCCTTTCTCTCCCGGGTATCCCGGAATGCCTGCGCTTGAGCGAGGGCAGATCGTTAATAAGCATCGCTTGCACAGAGAAGGAAATTGAGAGTGTCGTAGCTCCGTATTGTGTGCCTGTGATGGCATGCGAAGATTGATTACTGAAAAGACACTCCAAAACAGTAACTTTTAAGCCATGTAAGTGTTCATAAAAATCAATATGGTTACAAGCCCCCACATGGTCTCAAAGTGAAAGAAACAAGTTACAAAGAGACTTCAGAAGCGCCTACTAAAAACTTGACGTGAAATGGCAAATTCATACAAGTTATGCGCAATTAAATGTGCAGGGTCATTTCATAGAATGTGACAAACACAAGAAATCGTTTTTTTTTGCACACTAATACTTCATTTCAGAGCAAACATAATAAAATGCCTCAAACATGGGAACGTTATCATGTTATGATATCAAAACGGGCGTAAACGAATAAAGAACACTCGAAAGGTCGATGACGCAATACAGCCACGTTTATTTTGTTATGGAAAATTCGGAAACAGAACATGTGAGGGGAGGGGGCTATGTGAGTTATGTCACTAGAAGCGAAAGTTGGGCTATTTTGTGGCTCATGCTTAGATGTAAGAACGGCACAAGAATATTGACAAAGAGGGAAGAAGAGACGACAAGGCGCTGAACCCGCAACTAAAATTTTATTAGAAGGAACACACACATATATAACGCACAGGAAGACTTAGTCACATGGTACACCATGGCGCATAAGAACAAACTGGGCACAAAAAGGATCTAATTACGGTGAAAAGCAACAAATGCATAAACACCCGAGAAAAAAATCACCGTATATCTATGGAGTGAATGATGATCAGTGGGGCGAAGCTTCAGAGGGTTTTATCGGTAAACCGTGAATAGTCTATCCGTCCGTCTGTCTGTATGTTTGTCTGTCCATCTATCCGTCCATCCATTCGTCCGTCCGCACCTGCTGAGTGAGTCATTGAACTAGGCGGTCACGTACGAGCTAGGATGGACAGACGCTTGGCTTTAGGAGCTTCGCCCCCAAAAGAAAAAAAAAGACAAACATACTGGCAAAAACATACGTCACAGCCTATAAAACACTCACAATCACTTTAACCTGACAGCGTTGAACCCAGGTATCTAACCATCCTTTTCACCGAGGGCCATAGGTGGTTTGCTCATGCACCTCTTCCCTCCCTTTCAGTGTAAAAAGCTTCCATCACCTCTCTAGTGCATTTGTCCCGATGACCAAACAAACAAGTGCTTTCGTCCGCCGACGGCTGGCAGCCACACTCCATGCAATGAGCTAGCAAGTGCGAAGCGCCAGTAGTCGTCAAGGATGCCAAGTGTTCTCTTAGTCTAAAGTTGACGCACCGCCTGGTTTGTCCTAATATCAACAGCTGCTTATAAACACACATGATTTACATCCAACGTTCCTATTGTTTCTTTTTTCTGGACAGAACTAGCAGGCCTTGTGTGAATTCCAACACTTTATGAGGTGACATCACAACACGTTCCCGATTACTACTGACCGCGTTCTTCAAGTTAATTATGGGAAAACTTATGCACGTAGGGGACCACCACCAGTCTCATTTCAGTGCACACGTGCTCTGTTCTCCTTCGAGCCTTTGACCCACCTGATTGGTTTTTGACAGCCCCTCAAGATTTCGGTATCAGGGTAGCTCGCCGACTTCCACGTTTCGACTTGGCTCAGGAAACTTTCTTTTTTTTTTTTTTTTTTGTCTCATGCGTGCATGTTTTCTGGAGCGCAGCTCACAGCGCGGCATAAATAATGGCTGACTTGACCATCCTGGTGTGATATATGAGTGACCGTTATATGTGTGTGCTCCTTCTAATGAATTTTAGTTGCCAGTTCAGTGCGTTGTCATCTTTTCTTCCGTCTTTGTCTATTAGCCCCGAGAAGTTGGAGTGGCGACACCTGGTGGGAGGCCTGGTTTACGTCACGGCACGACGCCCGCCGATGCGACGCCCGCCGATGCGCGGCTTCACAACATGCGCTCGCATTGTACGCGGTCCCGCTCTTTGTGCGACGAGCTCGCGTTGGGTGCGATCTAAATGTCGCCGCCTCCGCGAAGCGCCGCCTCCACTGAGCGTGGTCTCTGCTGCGCGCGCGCTTATCAGACTCGTTATTCGAGAAAAAAAGGAGGTTACTTCGCTCGCTGGCGCAGCTGCGTTTACCGAAGGAGCGCACGGCTGACGCAAAACGCAGGAATAATTGTGACAGTTGTTCTCGCTTGTCCTGTGCATACTTGTGCGCTCGTTTCGCGCGTCTTTCTGTTTGAACGGCGCGCTTCAAGTGTCGAACTGTTGCAGCTGTTAGTCCGCGCTCATTTTGTGTATGCTAATTTCACGCGAGCTTTCTATTTGAGGTGTGTGCTGCAACTTTCCAGTTGCTAGCCATTCTTAACGTGACTTTGCAATTTGTGGCTATTGCTGAAACAATGCAAAATAAACGCTCAACTATATACCACTGTGAAGACGCGTTTCGCTCCCTTGTTATACCGGTCCCTATATAGAGAGATCAACCGCGTTTTTTTTTTTTTAGGATTCTGTTCATGGGCTAAAGCTTACGTACGAGCTGCCGGAAAAGGCCGGAAAAGGGAGAGCTTCATTTTCGAGATATTAGATTGCGCTTTCACGAGGAACATTTGTGCTGTCTGTATACAAGCCCCGATTCGTAAAGGGTATCTTGCCATTAACCTCGGGCTATGCTAAGATAATCATGTCGGGCATTATTTATGTCGCGCTGCGAGCTGTGCTTCAGAAAATGTACACACTTGAGATAAAAGAAAGCTTCCTGAGCCAAGGTTAAAGGCTGAAGTCGGCGGGCTACCCTGATACGGAAATCACGAGGGGCTGTCAGAAACCAATAAAGTACGTCAAATGCGTACTTGATACACGTAGAACAGAGCGCATGTGCAATGAACAGAGACCGGTAGTCGTCCCCTACGTGCATAAGTTTCCCCATATCTTGAAAAACGAGTAATGGGGTACGTGCTGTGACGACAGATCCCAAAAAGTTGGAATTCACACAAGGCCTGCTCGTTCTGTCCGGAAAACAGAAAGAATAGGAATGTTGCATGTAAATCATGTGTGTTTATAAACTGCTATTTTCTTGTGGGGGAGGAGGGTATATAGGACAAATTAGGTGGTGCGTCAACTTTAGACTAAGAGAACACTTGGCTTCCTTGACAGTCGTCACTTTGCACTTTGCATTTGCTAGCTGATTGCAGGGAGTGTGGCTACCAGCCGTTGGCGGACGAAAGCACTTGTTTGTTTGGCCATCGGAACAAATGCACTAGAGAGGTGATGGAAGCTCTTTACCATGAAAGGGATGGGGAAAGGTGCGTGAGAAAACCATCTGTAGCCCTTGGTGAAAAAGAGGTTAGATACCTGGGTTCAACGCCGTCAAATTAAAGCGATTGAGTTTTTTTTTTTTTTACTGTCGCGCGTGTTTTTGTCAGAAGATTTGTCCTTTTTTTTTCCTTGGGTGTTTACACATGTGTTTCTTTTCGCCATAATTAAATCCTTTTTGCACCCTGTTGGCTCTGCTGCGCAGACGCCATGGTGTACTATGTGACAGGTCTGCCTGATATATGTGAGTGTTCCTTCTAATGAATTTTAGTCGCGAATTCAGCGCCTTGTCGTCTCTTTCTTCCATCTTCCATCCTTTCATTCTTCCATCTTTGTCTATATGTTTGGGCTGTTTTTAGATCTAAGCACGAGTTGCGTCACATAACAGTAACGGGAAGAGGGGGGTGGGCAAATTATGAAATATTCTTGTTTTTATTACCGCAGGCGATAAAATGAAAATGAAAGAAGCAAGGACGAAGAAGGAGGTCAGTTAACCGCTAGCATGCGCCAATTACGGTGTTTCGCCTCAGTGAGTTAATTTGCGGAAGAACCGCCACATAGTTGTAGGATGCACCTAAACGTCTAAATATTTAACCTAAATCTCTGTTTGCTATACGCTGGTGCTAGTTAACAAACACTTCACCATCGTGCAAATGTGTGACCCGCCTCCATGTTTCCACGCCTGTCCCGTTAGGCAACTGTTACACCCCGTAATACTCCACCTGGTTTTCCTGGATTCCCAGGGTCCCCCGGCCCGCAGTACTCTTTCGAGGTGAAGCAGAATTCCTCTAACACCGGCACCTGCAACAGAAAACGTCAGTCGCGTTTCGAACGTTCAATAACGTGGCTATATCCTGAACTCCTAAGTCCTGCTGTAACTTGTATTTACTTTGCAAGTACTTAGTTTGCCACCCTTTAGTGTATGCGTTGCTAAACATCTCATGGGCAGAAAACAAGAAAATATAAAGAGAAAACAAGTGGTGATGAACTGTTCAAGGCAAGACATCATTCATTTCGATTCCTGCCGCTTCTCGGAGGTATTTATAAATTCAAGAATGCCACTGATCAATGAGAGAAGATCAACGGGGATATTCTGTCCCTATCGAACATCCATTAACACTGCGTGAATCCAACTCACATGTGAAGTTGTGCACGCACCCCGGTCTCGGCATTCTCTCGATTCAGAGTGCAACGGATCCTTTAAAGGCATAAATGTCGGTGCGGAGAAAAGTAAACCCACCGACGCACCACACGAGCAGTTGCAAATCCATGCGGGTCAGATCTCCGGGTGGTTTAACCTATACACCGAGAGGAGGCTTCGTGTCGGGGACGTGCACATCTGTGACCGCCCTCTGGGCACAGGCACTGCGCCGTGCTCCCGACCGGGTTGCAGAAATTAGGTGCCTTTTCTCATCTTCTAACCACTACCACCACCGCCCTCTGGGCACCGCTGCCCACTGGATCCATCGTTTCCATTTTGCGACGCCCTGATCCGAGATGTGACTGCCACACACTTGACTTGCATAGGATTAGAATGAAGCCGTCTTCACCACATCTGTGCAACAGACCCAACACAGTGCACAAGCCTCGGACCTGGCCGATCAACTGATCTCGATCGATGTATCCATGAGCCTTATCGCCGCTCGCTGTTTGCAACGGTGGCCGGTGGGTGCGTTTTTTTTTATTATCTTGTAATGCGCCACCACGTATGGGGCACAAAGTGAAAAAAAACAAAAAACGAGAGAACACACACACACACACACACACACACACACACACACACACACACACACACACACACACACACACCAGGGTGATAAGTTTTAAAAAAATACCAGTCACAGATTACACAAAGCTCTTGCTGTTAATTCTCTTGTATGGCTGCGTGCAAGTGACAGCACTACGCGATCGTGTCATGGCTAGCACGCACTCGCACACCAGTTTTTTTTTTTGTCTCTTCTTTCTTTTTAATGGGCAAGCGAACTGCCTTTTAGTAGCCTCGCCGCGGTGGTCTAGTGGCTAAGGTTCTCAGCTGCTGACCCGCAGGCCACGGGTCAGCAGCCGAGAACCTTAGCCACTAGCCACTGCAGGTCGCGGGTTCGAATCCCGGCTGCGGCGGCTGCATTTCCGATGGAGGCGGAAATGATGTAGGCCCGTGTGCTCAGATTTGAGTGCACGTTAAAGAACCCCAGGTGGTCGAAACTTCTGGAGCCCTCCACTACGGCGTCTCTCGTAATCATATGGTGGTGTTGGGACGTTAAACCCCACAAATCAATCAACTGCCTTTTAATACCGTTGCAATCGAGTGTCTTTCGTGATTTACTGTCCATTACAACCCGCTTATCGAATTAAGTTTTACGCAGGTTCATCTACAAATGTAAGTAGGGACTGGTCATGCAAGCAACCGAGAGAGGAAAGAAGGAAGGGCGTGCGGTAGACAGCCATGGCACGAAGCCTAACTGGAAAGAAGTATTTCCTGCCCTCGAAGTACTTGTCGTAAATTGCACCTGTATACTTACTCGGGGAAGCCCTAACGAGTGTTTCATTTCAGCGCGCTGAAGCGTTGAAGGGCTTGTTTCGCAGAAATTACGGCGTCGCCGTCGCTATCGGCGTGGGCGTCGTTCATTGTGAGCGAAAAATCATCATCTTGGAGGCGGGAATGTTGTAGGCCCGTGTGCTCAGATTTGGGTGCACGTTAAAGAGCCCCAGGTGGTCAAAATTTCCGGAGCCCTCCACTATATACGGCGTCTCTCATAATCATGTGGTGGTTTTGGGACGTTGAACCCCACATATAAATCAAAAATCATCATCTGATGCGTCACCGAAAAATCGAGAAAAATGCAAATACTTCCAGGTTTGAGTGGGAATCGAACCCAGGCTGCCTGCGCGGCAATTAGCTGTTCTACTACACAGCCACGCATCTGCTTTGATGTGCTGTAGAAATAACTTCCTTTGGTTGGAAATGCAGTGAACTAACGTTTTTTTTAATCTACCCCCTCGCCCAAACACACGCGTCCTGTAAACACTCTTCGCAATACAACACGTAATATTGCTGTAATATTGCGTGGTACAAGCATACATTGCCGTCGGGCGTCAATGTCAAAACGACTGTGAGGTTTAAAACCAGCCACCCATTACAACAGGTACACATGTTACTGTGTGTATTCCCTTAAGACCACGTAGCAGGCGCATAGCAAGTTGTAAAACATATAATAATAATAATAATAATAATAATAATAATATTAATAATAATAATAATAATAATAATAATAATATCTGGGGTAACGTCCCGAAAGTATACGATATGATTATGAGAGACGCCGTAGTTGAGGGCTCCAGAAATTTCGATCACCATGGGGATCTTTAACGTGCACGTAAGTCTAAGTATTAGAAGGGCCCCAAACACGTTCGCCTCCATCAAAAATGCAGCCGCCACCGCCGCCGCCGGGATTCGATCCTTCGGGTTATAGCAGTCGAGTGCCCACCACGGCGGGGCAAGTTGAAAGAAATTTCACGCGCTTAATTGCTTGTGGTTTAAAACACGATAACATAACCATTACACACAATGCAGCCATGTGCAAAAGCTTGACTGACACAAGCCACTTTCAACTTTATCGATTGCATTACAGTAATCAACAATTTAAACTTCTAGAATAACATCGCACAATTGAAAGTATGCAACAAGTTGGTCAAGAACGCACTGGAGAGCATATCACTATCGCGTTCAACTCTTGAAACGAAGCTTAAGGATACCCCAATTTTTTTATTAATTTTATAATTATTGAGTGGAACGTTGCGAAATGACGCTAAAGAGTGTGCAAGCATTATACACACAGACATATGTTGAACAGTCACGCATGTTTTGTATAACCAGTTGTTTGCAGTTGCGTAATGATGCAAGCCACAACATAGCATTAGCAACACCAGAAGAGGTACGCTGATGCGTAGCGCTTGTACTTGCGAAGATGGTAGCCCCTACACGCTGCAACATAAATCAACTCAAGTGGTTGGCACTTAACAACAATCGACGTTAACCCGACGTGACGGCCGCCATGTACAAATACAGCCATCACGTATATGTACATATGTAATGTTGTATAGCCGGCCCTGCAACCACCCGAGACTCACATTACGCGCGCATTTTTTTTTTCAAAGTACACTTTTGCATTCCAATTTTAGCCTGCTGTTTCTCATTGATGTTATATCTAACAAAGCAAACAAGCCCTTACATTTACACATTTTTCCTTCAATTTCTGTTCTCGCCGTTCATCGGTTGATATAAATTGTCAATTAGCTGCGGCACATAACAGCAGCTCACGGGTATGTGCTACATATGTCTAGAAAAAAGGGTTTGACGACGTACGCGACGGAGTTTTCACGTTATTTATTTCATGACCATTAAGACATATTCATCAAGCCTTCTTGCCCTCTCATTGATCTGCTTCAAGTTAAAGAGGCGATCACGAGAGCACCCTGATGTAGGTGGCTAGATAGATAGATAGTAACACTCGACGTTCGATGGGAAATGCTTCGCAAATGCTTCGCACACACTCCCTTGCCTTAACTCCGTATTTCTCCAAAACTAATCTCTTCAAATTTTCGTTTTTCCCGCGCACAATCTGTGAGTGGAACAATTTACCGTTTGCCGCCCTGCTGTTGACAGATTCTATTGACGCACATGTTTTCCTGAAGATGTAAAAATGTTTTGCAGTTTTTTTTCTTACTTTCAGTGCCATGTTGTTTCCCTTTGTTTCCCTTTGCGATTCACGCAATCCCACTTAAATCATCGCTGTTACGATAAGTTTGGTTGCATTATTGTTGTGATGATTGAATTATTGTATGCTGTGTGATGTTTGGCTTGATTGCCTTACTGCCTGTACCATTCCTGCTTGGGCTCCATGCCTGCAGTATCTTGTAAATAAATAAAAATAAAATATAATATACGATATTGTCCCGTGGTCGTGACACTGATGGAGGTTTGCGTATATTCAAGGCTAAACGTTTTATTTGGGCGAACTTGTGCCCGAAAATTGAAGAGACAACTTGCAAGCGATTCACGCCATTGCATTATTAGCGGCGAACAGGGCATCGGCAACGTTTTTTTTTTTCGTGTGTTTTAATATGTTCACATATACGTCATTGATACTGCAAGTCTTAATTACTACAAATTTATTAAATGTCTACAAATAACGCCCTCTATACCTTTCTCGCCTTTTGTTCGTTGTTTTTCATTAAGCTCGTCTGTAACAAAAAAAAGCTGAGCTCATTGCAATCTGTATATTGTTTTTTTCATCATTCTATTATGCCTGTAAAGTGGCATTTATGGAGCGTCAACAAAAAAAAAAAGGCACCCGTGTGTTGTTGCATGTGAGGAAACAAAGAGCGTACCGGTATCCTGGCGTATGAGCTGACGAGCATGGTGTTGCCGTCGCGGCTGGTCATGTCGTTTCGCGGGAAGAACTCCACGTTGGGCACGGCGGCCGCCTTGGGCGATATCCTCGCATAGACGGGCTCCTCGGCGGCGGCTCGACCCGCTTTGCGCGGCATCGTCGATCCGCTGCGCTTCGCACGACCTCCCGACACGTGTGCATCGCGAGCAGGGGACTCTTCCATCGGAACGACGCAGCACCTCGCGCTCTCGCGGTCGGTGAACGACAACGATTCCCTGGCAAAGTGTAAGTACAGGTTAGTCGCGGTCAACGCGTACAGCAGCGCCAAGAACACGTAGACAGCCTCGAACGACTTCATGGACGACGGCCACGAAACCTCGGCCGGCTTCATTGCGACGCACTCGGTTTCACAAGTTGACCGATCACAGCTTCGCTTACAACTCGTTGATTCGCCTCTCAGTAGTCTGTTTCTTGCGCAGGTTGCACCCCGAGCGACAGGGTGATTCGCCTTTCAACGCGACACGTTGTCAGTGTTGCGCGTTTTCACGGAAGTTGTGGTCGTTCTCGCGGCGAACAAACCTCCCAACCGTGCCGAGTTCGGTGTCGTCCTGATGCTGTCGTGTAGCCGCAGCTTCCTCTCGCGCGAAAGTTTGGGTCCTCGTGGACTTCTTTGCCACAAGGGCCTCGACGAGGTGTCGGAACACGCAACGAATGAAAGGAGCTGACTCTTCCGTCTGTGCTCTGATCTTACGGCGCTGGAGAATGTCAACACTTGAAACGTGATGCCTCGGTGGAGAAGCGCGCGAGATGAGTGGACTGCGTGGCGTTTGCCGAGTTCCTTCGTTGTGTTTTATTGTTTATTTGTTTCTTTTAACGTTCATCGTGTATTGTGACACTACAGTCGTCGTGGGTCGCTGATGATAATGACGGCCGTTTCTTCAAGCACCCCCTGCCGCTTATACAAGTATATACACATCGCCCAACAAGTTTTCAGCCGCCCAGTTATTTCATTTGCTCCCGATAGAAAAAAAAATTGTTAGTCAGTAAAAATATTCGTTTCGACTATCTTTCAAATAATATCTGTCTTTCAAGTGTTGCCCGTCTAACGAGGTGGAGCGTTAGTGCACAAAAAGAGTTAGTGCATAAAAGAGTCTATGGATACCTGGTTCGAAAATGGTGCGAAAAACTCTCAGTTATATAACATTGATACCGGAATGGAATTCAATATTTCCTGAAAGGTTAGCCGATCGGTAGAAACAGTCCTCCATAGACTTCGACTTGGTACGGCCTACACAAAGGCCTTCCTGTATAGAATAAGGAAAGCTAGCAGTCCTACCTGCTCATGTAGAGAAGCTCAAGATGATGTGGAGCACATTCTTCTACATTGTAAAATTTATGACAGGCCTCGAAAGAAACTTACACAAAAACTAAATTATTTGGATAAGCAACCTCAATCAATTGCAAAAATATTGGGTCCATGGCCAAAAGGAAAGCTACAAGTAACTGCAGCGCGTCAAGTCGTTCACTTTTTGGAAGATTCTGAAATATCTCAAAAATATTAAACGAAAAAAACTATAATCATCATTGTTAACCGATATGTTTTATAACGATATTTTAGTGTTTCACTACGATATATTTGTGAAAACTTTTCTGAAATCAGTACTTAAGAAACAAGATCACCTTAGACATTTTGATGAACTTTCATGTCTTGTGCGAACCCTTAAAATGGCGTGATTACTTGTGTTTTTACAAACTCTGTGTGGTGTGGACACTCAGTATTGAAAAACGTGGACTTAATGAGTAAGCGTTGTGCTATGTACATATGTATAGCCTTGTGTTTGCTACAAAATCTGCGATGTCGACTTTCGAGCAAGAGGACTACCCCCGGCGCCACGCATTGGCACCGACCTCTTCTTATATACATTTATTAAAAAAAGAGTTGACTTTTGGGCGAGCTGGTGTTTTGACATAGATACCATCTTGAGCGCCACTAAAGAGGACATAGGCGAAGGAACACATGAAAACAGGTTCACATATAGGGCATATTCTATTGGTTATTTTTCTGAAGCTGTGTTATCCATAGTAGAAGACATACTTCTTACGAAAAAAAAGTCCCAGCATTGCCGCAAAGGCGAGGCATTGGACGCGATAGCAACAAATTGGAAGGTCACGCATAGAATCGAAAGCATATAGAAACGTGCCCCGAGTTTCTCACGTACAAATAACGCACGAAACGTAGTCACAGGTACAGATGCAAGCGGATAAGCGTCTCAGGTTAACTTCACTGTGTCTGAAAAGCACGCGCTTTTCACAAACAGAGACTGCAATGATTGCAGTGACCTTTGTGCGCCCGTTAACTACAACAGCATCGTTCCAGGTAAAGCCCGAGGCCAGCTACCCTCGCTACCCTCCTCTAAGCGGAGCAAAGTACACGTGGAAGATTAGAGCGCATGTTGCCGTGCGATGCGGCGACGCGCGCTCATTTCGCCATCTAGCTGGTAATGCTGAAAACACGATAATCCCCCTCCCCCTCGAGGTGCCCGTCAGCAGGGGTAAAAGGTCGATATAAATAGCCATGCTATTTAAACGTTCGAGGTTCCAGAGCACGTGTGCTTATTTGCCCGACATGGCCTGCATTAACCCAGATGGGTGAGAAAAAAAGTGTGAAGGAAAAAGAAATAAAGAAAGAAAGAAGGAAAGTACGTAAAAAAGAACGAAAGAAAGAAAGAAGGAAAGTGAAAAAAAGAAGAAAGAAGAAAGATAAAATTTTACTGCCACGGGGCACTACTGTCGCCTGCGTTGCCGATCTGGAGCCTGTGTGCGTCGTGCCTCTTACCCCTGCCTCCCCTAAAGGCCATCCTGGAGATCATGCTGCTTCCTCGGCCTTTACAGCAGGCATCAACTAGGACTTGACAGACTCGCAGAAGCAGCAGCTGCTTGATTTGTTGCAAAAGCATGCAAACTCTTTTGACGTTCATTCATCCAGCCTGGGTCAGACAACTGCTACAGCACATCGTATTCAGACCGACGGAACATCCATCATGCATCGTCGTCCGTACCGCGTCTCCCTAGCCGAACGAAAAATCATTGAGGAAAATGTAGACGATATGCTGCAACGGGTGATAATTCGACCCTCAACCAGTCCTTGGTCGTCTCCAGTGGTTCTGGTGCGTAAAATAGACGGTTCCGTACAATTTTGCGTCGATTACCGAGCACTCAATAAGATCACTAGGAAGGACGTATACCCCATGCCACGTATCGACGACGCCCTCGATTCCTTACAAGGTGCTGAATTCTTTTCAAGCCTCGACTTGCGTTTCGGCTATTGGCAAATCCCCATGCACGAAGATGACAAAGAAAAAACTGCGTTTGCAACCCCGGACGGCCTATACGAATTCAATGTTATGCCGTTTGGTCTATGCAATGCGCCCGCAACTTTTGAGCGCTTGATTGACACCGTGCTGCGTGGCCTGAAATGGAAGACTTGTCTATGTTACCTCGATGACATTGTTGCTTTTCGAAACGTGGCGAACACTCCCAGTGAAAGGGAGTGTTCGCCTCATTTCGATAATCAGACGCGTCTAACTGTGGTATTACGGCACATGGTCGTCGGCAGGATCTTTTCTTTGGGGGTGCAAACCAGTGTTGCATCGCGGCTGGGGTTGGGGAAGAGCACTGGTATAGCTTGGGTGAGGGCAAGTGCTGCTGAGGCTTGGGGGAGCAAGTGCCTCTTTTGCACCCCTCTGCCGCCGCCCATGTTACGGCACCATTTCAAAAAATTCTCACGGCTCCGTGGTCTTTGTACACTCTAACACAACTTCCTCACAACCAAGAGGAGGTCGTGCTCACAGCTGAATTCCGATCTTTTAGTGGTTTATAGGGGACCTTTAAGGGCACGGAGGAAGGAAAAACTTAGGAGGGAGCATTGCGTCACGCACCCAGCCTTTGCAAGCCAACCCGTTTTGAAGCCATCAAAGTCGGCCCAACACGTGGCCTTTTGCCGTGAGGTCATGCAATAAACGAGACTTGCCGAGATGTTCTTGTTTGGTTCTGGGTAGGTTTTAGTGGGAGAGTGGCAGTTTGGCCGCTTCACGGAGCGTCCAGCTGATCCGCACGCTGCTCGGTGTCCCCGCCTGCACTTCTGATCGTGGTCTAGTTTTTCTCAGAGCTTTTCCCGCTTCGTTCGTTCCGTGCAAGCGAGAAATTCGGGCGAGCCGTGAAAGGATCCCGAACCAACGTTAGACGTGCACGTCAGTCGAATTAGCGAGAGCTTTGTGGGCACAGAACGCATGTATTCCTTCCCCTTTTGTGACGAATATTATCATTGTGTATCCTTCCCGGGAGTGGATAATCGCCAGGCAGCCGGCAGTTGACATGACCAATCTTCGCTCCAGCTCTAGTAATGCTTGTAAATACAGGCAATCAAACCCGGCGTAGCGTTTCGCAACGAACTGCCTTTCAGACGGAGCCAGGTGTTTCGCACGGTAGCTCCACATCTCTTACGAGTACTGGTATCCGCTGTTCCCAGCACTGGTTTCAGTGACAACAGTAATGAGCGGTAGGTCATCGAAAGCGAACGATCTTCATTACAAAGCCTGCAACATGCATCGGCGAATGATGGGGAAAAGTACACTCCATCTCACCATTTTGTTCATCGCTACTAAATGTAGGCTTAAAAATCATGGTGTTTACCCTCGCTTTAGAAGTTAAGAGCTTAGCTTTTGAAATGCCAACATACATCACGTACAGAAACACGATTTGCAGCGCAACGTTTCCGCAGAAACAACCCTACCTGCAACAGGGCACAGGCACGTTGTAAGACTTTCGCTCTTCAACTTCTCGCAATAATCTTACGCCACATTTCTTGAGACGTGTCTACATGTGATCATTGACAGCTAAAACTCTTTTAGCTTCGAAGAAACGCTGTGATTCGGCGCCAAAGTCCAGAAACGTGAGTACAGCGTTCACGGTAGTGCTTCCGCGCTACGAGCGGTCAAGCACTTTTCAAAACAAAACGAAACCGAGAAAACTAGAGCCTACCGCACGCGCTGACGTTTTTGCCACTTAATTGTTGGGCCAATTTGGTGGGCTTCAATCGTGTTGCGCAACGCTCCCTCTTGTATTTTTCCTTCCTCCGTGTTTAAGGGTCCCCTATCTTTAGTTCTATTACAATGTATGTTCGAATGGCTGCTATGACGTGTTCTCTGGCAGTCCAAAGCGGCGTTCGTGAACAGCACTTCTTGATTGACTCAGGAGGTTTTTAGGTTGATTGGCTCAGACTTACCTTCTACATTTGCGGTATTTGGCATTGATCTTCTTGGGTATTGGTGTCGCTTGTATTTGCGTCCTGGTGTGACTTCGAATTTGACGAATTTCGTCACTGCAGTATTGTGGTCGGACCGGGTATGAAACGAATTTTGTCGACCCACGTTATCAGAACCGCCGTCTTCAGCTCTTCAATTATGTTATAAACTCCTGTGTCGCGGAGTCTTTCATTCGCGGTGTTCCCCGGGCAGTCCCAGCGCCACTTATAGGTGCCCCGTATGATTTGGTGTACAGCTTGATTTCATTGCGATAGCAATTATTTGGACACTCTGGGCTAGATTTCGCCGCCGGCATTGATGTCATGCACCGTATATGTATACGTATCTATATATATGAAAATTCAAGAAAGATAATATCTTAGAAAAAAGACGCGCAATCAAACGTGAGGCATCCGCGTCGTGAATGCGAGGCGTTAATCACTGAGCTCCTGAATGTTTTTTATATTCATTACCTGTTTTGCACTTGGTACAAACATTAATAGAAGTCACTATGAACAAT